GAGTTATACCCAAACTCTAAGGGGTTTTCTTTCTGATATTATCAACTAAAAAACTCATCTTTCAATTCAAGTTCATAACCTGAGACCTGGTTAGTAGTGACATATATTGAGAAAAATGTTACTGATGGTGTTACTAATGATGCAGTTGTATACTTCAAAATATGAAAACTCATCGAGTGCAATTGTAAAGGGAATTTTGGATCAGCCACTGAGCTTTATTATTCTTTCTTCTGTAAAGGTTCATTCTTTCTGTTCTTCTGTAAAGGTTCATTCTTTCCGAAGAAGATGATATGGATTCAACTTGGGAGAAAAGGCTAGTGAAGCGTTACTATGACAAACTTTTTAAGGAGTATCCTTTGCGACAATCTTATTAAAATCTCTTTTTAAGTGTTACTATAACTATCAATGATGTATATTGTGACCTTTTCCGTACATTGTGTTTGGATGGGGGTTAGAGGATGGAAGTTAAAGTGAAATTTAATTTTCACCTCGTTTGGGAGATTTTTTGAGGGATTACAGGATGGAATGGAAGGTTACTCACATTTTCCTCCCCACAATTTGGACGGTAGAGGATGGAATGAAAACCAATCTAAAATTTTACTAGATGATAAGACAATTATACCCTTATAGCTTTTTTATCATTTACTAGTTGATAAAATATCTTAATAATATGTAAGGGTATTTATGTAACTTTACAAATATTCACTTCACTTCCCTCCTCTTTATTAGAACTCCCAAACAAGGTAAAACAAATTTACTTCCGTTCCCCATACTAAACTCCCTAACAACATTTTATATTTTCACTTTCCTTCCCTACTTTTCCTTTCCATTATTTAACTTTCTGTCATTTCCCTTATGCTTTGTTTGGGAGTTTACTAAGGGAAGAGATGAAAAGTTAAATAATGGAAAGGAAAGGTAGGGAATGGAAGTGAAAAGATAAAATATTGTTTGGGAGTTTAGTAAGGGGAACAGAAGTAAATTTATTTTATCTTGTTTGGGAGTTCTAATAGAGAGGAGAGAAGTGAAGTGAATATGTATAAAGTTACATAAGTACCCTTACATATTGGATGTGAGTATATCTTAGCTATTGATTTTAATGTCATAAGGGTATAATTGTCTTATCACATTGTAAAATTTTACATTAGTTTCCATTCCATCATCTACCCCCAAATTGGACGGGAGGAAAATGGAAGGAAATTTAACCTTCCATTCCATCCTGTAACCCCTCAAAAAAACTCCCAAACAAGGTGAAATTGAAATTTCACTGTAACTTCCATCCATTAATCTTCGTCCAAACAAGGTGTTAGTAAACTCCCAAACAGAGCAAAGTTTGTCATCCATTTCACTCGTGCAATGTCTTTTCTCATTTTGAATTTTCTTCCCCTTGAAAATATTCTTGCAGACTGATCACCGGCTTTACGTTGCTTGGGCTGAGTTAGCGATTTTTTTGTTAGTATTAAATCTGCATTATTTATCTTGTTTATTCCTTCTAGTTATTGTACGTTTATCAATTTACTTGCTGCCTGTTAGGTGGCAGGACTGTCTGGTCTTTCTAATTAAAAATTGATATTTTGTCCTTCAGCCTTAACCTATGAAAAAGATATTGTATCGCTGATATGTCACAGTACAAGAAAGGAAAGGTAAATAACATTCTGTTAATGTTTATATTAATTTTTTCTTAATGACTTGTACTGGTATCTTTAGAATTGGCACACCTAATGCAAAAATGCACGCACACACACACATCACACATACTTCTAAGCACTTTGCAGACATATTTTGTTGCTGTCAATAGTTTTGTTAGACTAGTTATATTTGTTTTTACTGTGTGAATTTTGTGCCACTCCGTAAACATTCGGATTTGAGTTTTTAAAAGGCTAAAATACTTAAACGCCCTACAGCTTCACCAACATTGCACTTTAGTGCCCCCTATTTTAATACCGTGCACTTAAATGCCCCATTGTTTCCTGCGTTAAAAAACCAACGCCGTTACCATTTCCTGTAAAAGATGAAAATGCCCCTCCCCCATTTAACCTGCCTGCAATTACTATCCAATCAACGTTAATAAATGCCCAAATTTTCACCTCCCCCTAATTCACTTCGCCCTAGAGAAGAAATTGGTGAAGAAATTTAGGGGTTAGAAGTTAGAATGAGGGAGATCAGAGCAAGTTATTAAAAGAATGATAATAACAAATGGATTGTTTAACTATTAATAATATCAACTCTAGTGGTATTGGAATTCATCAGAATAACATGTGACAAGTCACATGTGAATATTTCACTAATATTCTAACGGCTAACTAACATAGTTACATAGGGGATCAACGTGCAACATTTTAAAACTTTGGGGTATTTAAGTGCAGGGTGAGAAACTTTGGGGTATTTAAGTGCACAGTTTTAAGATGGGGGTCATTGAAGTGCAATATTGGTGAAACTATAGCGTATTTAAGTGCAATTTAGCCTTTTTAAAATGGTGAGTTTAATGACTGAGATTTTTAGTACAGAATAGATAATATTACATGTTAAAAAGTTGATATATAGTTTAACTTAGCCATATTAAATTATAAAAAACAATAACTCTTATATCATGGCATATAACTATTATTTAGTGACATTAAGTTGAATGATTATTTTTCTTATAATTTAACTTGAGTAAACTTTAGTAAACCTTTTAGCATGTAATATTATCTAGTCCATACTACAAATCTCAGTCATCACATCTTACTCACTTTATAAATAAATTTTTTCCTTGAACATACAATAGCAGATCTCGTGTATACTTGGTGCAAATAAACATGGATAGAGTTGATGGATATCATCCTCTCCCTCCCATGTTTCTTCGCCAGGTTCATGACGTCGCCAAGACCCCAAGACTAGAGGCATCTTGTTCTCAAGAACCTTCCCCTTGTCTAATGTTGCCATTGGATGCTTCTCATATGTTAATTCTGTCCCAAGCTGAAGCTTTGAGATATTCAATTTCACACGTACATCCATAGCTGTGATATGTCGAACACACTATGAACTCCTTCCAAGGTTGGAGGCAAGGCTAGTCTCTGTGCCTTCTCCCCCACTCTCTGCATTTCAAAGGACCCAATAAATCTCAGACTGATTTTTCCTCTATTGTCAAATGACTCAAATCTGATCCCTCGATTTGGAGAGATTCTCAAATATGTATGTTCTTCGGCTTCAAACTAGAAGGGTTGTCTGTCAGTACCTGCCCAACTTTTCTGTTGGTCATGGGTTGAAGGAGAATGATCCCATATCATCTTGAAGTTTTGAACTTGTCTAGTGTCTCCGGCCCCAACAGTCGTCACTCCCTGATATCATCCCAGCAGGTTGACGATTTGCATTTCCTCCATATTAGACTTGTATCTTGCCATCTGGATGCTCACTTTGTAGCTGTCATTGTAGGAGAACTCAACGAGATATATCTGATTTACTGTTCACCCAAGATCCATGGAAATCCGTAACACATGCTCGCAGCATGTCCTCCAAAATCTGGATACTGCATTATGACTTTCAGCCTGTCAAAGAATGATGAACAGTGCTGCATCTCAACCTCGCCTCCAGATTCTGCTACGAAATCCTCTAAATCTGACACATAAATTGGTGATTCTGCCTGACACTATGGTCACTGGCATTCCATTAAGATGGACTCTCTTTTGCATATAAGGATCAACTAGGCTCTCTGTTGCCTGCCCAACGTGAATGGTAGAATGTGTGCCGATTGGGTGGTTCGTTCTACCACCACCCATATCGCATTGTCTCTCTTCCAACTCCTTAGTAATGGTGCAACAACATCCATGATGACATGCTTCCTTTTCCGCTTGGGAATGGTAAGGGGCTGCAAACATTCTGATGGTCCTCAAATGCTCCGCTTTCCCTACTTGGCATACTAGGCATCTAGCCACAAGTTAGGCTATTTTCATCTCCATCCCTGGCCACCAGTAGTACTCTCGCAAGTCTTGATACATCTTTGTGCAACCAGGAGGAATGAATGGTACTGAGTTTGACTAAGGTCACAAGTTGAGTAGGGGTATTTATCCGTATTTTTAGTTCAGTTCACAGTATATTCTTAAACATGAAAGTGGGCACTGCTCAATGCTACCAGCTAGGAAATTTAAGGTGCCACCAGCTATAAAATGTAATAGTGTGTAGAATTTGCCTAGACTTGCACAAGATTTTTGAGGAAGGGTTTAATAGTCTATATTTTCAAGACTAAGAAAATACATTCATTATTTTACTACCGAAGTATTAGAATTCTACTATCTTAATAAACCACGCTGATGTATAGATGATTAATGGGAGAAAATCTAAGAAATTATGTTCATAGTTTAAGTGTGAACCTTTATCCTGAGGCTATCCATTCACTTATGAAAAGCTAGGAAGAACTGAGTCTTTCGCTTAACTTTCATGTTTCATAAAAAATTATGAGAAAAAAACCTAATTTGTGATATATGAAAAGCTATCAAGAATTCTTGTTTTTTGCTCAAATTCAGGTTCCATAAAAAATAGGCAAAACAGACAAGTTGTGTTAGAAGAGATTCCATTAACCGTTATATAGCCAAAGATCAAGTTCTGGATCCAATGGGCTGTCATGCTGATTCATGTCTCAAAAACATTGGTCATGCCTCAAGATAAGTTTGCTGGTAAACTTGTAAAAAAAAAAAAAGTGAACTGTAGCATTTCTGATTTTGCAAAAGCGAGAAGTTGGGTTTAGAAAAATAAGCAAAATGGGGAATTGGGTTCAGATTTAACAAAATATGCAAAAGGAAGACCTGGTAGGCTGTGCAAGGTTCAGATTTGTCTCTTTTACTTTTCTTCCAGAGCTAGCACATATGAATATACAATGCGAAAAAATATGCAGTAATATCGGATATCGGAGAGAGAACTCAGAAAGTTTTGCTCCAATTTCATATTTGATGCCAAATCTAGATCAGAGTGTGCCTAGAAGACATTCGGAAATCTAAGCATGTAATTTTGTCTCTTCAGTAAAGCCTGCTCGACTTTGTTTTTTGATTATTAGGATGCCAAATCTAGATCATTGGTTTTTAATTGATCTTTCAGGTTGCATTTGCAGAAGTTAACACATTTCTATATCACGATAAATGCTTGTAATTGCACAATGTCTTTGGTTATTCCTTTTTCTACGCTATGGGCTATTTATACCATCACTCCCATTTGTAACAACTTTGAGCATTTTATATCTTCTTGACAGATCGGTTTAAGATGGAGAACAGAAAAAGAAGTCATATCTGGAAAAGGTGATGACAAGACTTCAACCTTCTCTTAGCTTATTACGCCTACGGAGTGTTGTATTTGGAAACAATGACTATGTTTTCTGCTTATGTAGATTGGCATATTATAGCAAAATTTAACAGTTATTTCTGACTAATTTATGGCTGTGGTACAAATGACTGCTTGCTAAGAATAGTACTTCCTATTTTCTAATGCTTAACTTCTGCACTATCTGTGGGGTAGAATATGATTATCGTTGTTAACAACAGTTGTCGCCATGAGTCAATTAGCTCTGAGCATGGTTCAGCTCTGAAATTGTAGAGAGCTACATCTAAGTGGGCTTCATAGTTTTATGTGTTAGCTATGTACGGTTAAGTTTGACAGCTACCGTTTTCAGAATGTTTGTGTTATCCTGTATTTAATTATATCGGAGTCTATGTCATCTATCCATGTGAAAATTCTGTAGGCTGCCCCTATAAGAAATATTATCCTTCTTCATCAATATCTTGGGAGTGAGATTTAGGTTGTTACATTTCTTATTTTGCTGTGGACCCAGAATATCTAGGATTTTCCATTCATCATTTTAATGATCTTGTTAATTTTTATTATGCATGAAGGTTTCTGCAACAACTCATTTATCTTCTGTGACAGGGCAGTTTGTTTGCGGCAACAAAGAATGCAATGAGAGAGGGGGTCTAGGAAGCTATGAGGTATATTTAGTTTATACAACTCAATATTTCTGCTTTTGTCTTGCTACATTCATCACTGAGCCACATTCATGACTGAACCTGAATAAAGTACCAAGTTTCATGTCAAAGCTTAACATGTTAACACCTAAATGTCGTTAGGAATTTATCCTTGTAACATCACAATATCGATTTATAGTATTAAGAACATGGTTGTTTTTCAAAAAGCTCCATTTTAGTTCTTCAAATAACTGCAGTGTGAAGTTTGTAAGAAACAACTCGTGTGAAAACTGAAAAGCTTTAAGTAAATTTTGGTGGAGACATGTTGCAGTTCATATCACATTTATGGCTGAGTAAGCCCTAATTATTGGCGACTTCATGTTTCTTATCGATGTTAAAAGTTTCCCTTATTCTGGGACAAAACTTCGCATGCATGAGTGACTAGGGGTTCGTCCTTATATGTAAGAATTTGAAATACGAGGTTAACTTGTCCTTTGCCAATGGAATTTTAGAATGATTAAGTGTCAGCTTCTAGGGTATGGTTAGTTGTACTTTTTGTATCTAACATGGTGAAGTTTTCAAGATGTTTGGAAGAGTCTATTAGATTAACCTCAGAGGATATGGACTCATTTGTGACAGAATGGTCTCTCTTTATAATAATTTTCAAAGTATCTGTTTGTCAGTAGATGAACCCCATCCATTACTTTTTTGTTTCTGCACCATTTGCAGGACTATATTCATAAAAAATGTAAATATCTCAGTTTATGTGTGCCTTTTCTTTTCTTTTCTTTTTTCTGAGTGACAATGGCCAATGATTTATTACCATGCTAGAGTGTCAAATCTGTTTACAGAGTCACACTGGCAATTCAGAGTTTCAAAGTCTCCTGATAAGACCATCTCTTATTTTATTAGGTTGGATCTCTTGGTGTTACCCAGCTACTTGTTCTGTCAGCTAATCTTATTAGTTTGCAAGCTCTTCTTGTTAAAATGTAAGGTTGTGAGACGACATATCAACAACTAAATCAAGAAATCTCATAAAGGGTTTTGTCTATGATAGGAAAGATGATGAGAGACATCGTTATGAGTTCTTTTGAAGTTGGGGACCTACATGCTTAGTTAGAATTGCAATATGAGTAGATAATGCTTTGAGAAATGAGATAATGCCTAGTAAGCTGTTGCAATCAGACTTCTTATTTGTGCAGATGATTTAACATGGATTTTGGTGAAGGAATGTGTAGGGAGCAGATAAATAACAAAGAAAAGCTTCAGGTCTTATTATCTTAGGTATGCATTTCATAAGAAATTGAACATAGGTTCTGGTGATGGAATATATAATGTGAATAAGAAGGAATGACAAAATATAGATTGAGATAAACCAACATCTGGAACATTGATTGAGAATGTAATTTAATTTCTCTAATTGGGTTAATAATTGAACATTGTTGCATATTTTTAGTGATGCCCTGCCACTCGTTCCTTAATCTAAACATTTCCTTGTGTATGTGATTGATCCCGAGATCCAAGACTGTAATCTACAAAATTATCAAATGTCCCTTCTCATCTTCATAACTTATGTCACTTCATCCAAAAACTTGATGCAAACCTCACACAATTTCCTGAAGTTTATTTCGATTGGCTATTGAATCATTTGTACAACATTCTCAACCATGGCTCATATTTTTACTATATAGCTTCTCGCTTGTCATGGCTTGAAGATTACATGTTTCTATAACTGTGTAGTACCCCTTTTCATTCCGTAATGGAGATGCACATGGCCTTTTATACATGTCCATTTATTTTCTTTGGCAGGTAAATTTTGCTTACTTTGAAGCAGGAGAAAATAAACAGGCTCTTGTCAAGTTAGTTGCTTGCAAGAGGTTAGTTGTTCTTTCTTTTACATATTAATGTTCAGATAATTTATTAGCTTACCTTTTATTTTTTTATATGATAATTGTCTTGTAGGACACTTTCACAAAGAATTTGGTCACAATTGAGTCTTAATTCTTCTTTTACATATTTATATAAGCAAACATTTGCTTGGATTTAGACCTCAATTGAGGTAGAAATAAATAATAAACCCAAATCGATATTGCAACATACCAGTCGATTTTTTAGGCCAAAACGTCACCTGATATATCGGGAATATCCCAATATATATCCCAAAAATTTGCTAATAGCAGTAGAGGATATTGAACCCATATCGCCTCGCAGGAGGCCTTATAAAATGACATAGTAGCCAACATATTGGTCATGTCGGTAGGTATATAAAATGATTGGATATTATTAGATCAGGTAGAAGGGTTGTTTGCAAGAAATCCTTATTGCTGATAGCCTGATAATCCTATAATTGCCCTCTCTGTATGAAAGTTTCCATCTGGAGTTCTCTATTTCTTTAAAAATGTGGACGAATAAATGTTGCAATAAGATCCAATTTCACAACTTATATAGAATATGGCACTTGAAAGGAAGATCTTACTGGGGATTTGGTTGATATTAAACTGACGTAGCACGGAAGTGATAACCTCGGAATCTACCAAGGGTGTTTTCTGAATCCACAAAGAACGATCTCCGAATCCACGAAGAACTTCAAATTCACGAAGAACTTCGAATCCACGAAGAAAATATTGAAAAGAAAATTTTATTGATGAAAAGATATTATCCTTTGGGGTTACATGCCTCTTCTTAAATAGAAAATCAAATAAGACTTCTAGTAAAACTAGAATTACAAAGAAATAGAAAGTATTAAATTCTATCCTAAAAAGACTCCTTATAATAGAGGAAACAAATCATGAATCAAAATTGAATTTGTTTTCTTATCTAATTTGACTCTAACATTGAATTTATTTCCTAATCTAAATAGATTCTAATTTTATTACTAAAATAAACTAAAAGCTGATTATTTTTGGATTTCAGCCAAAACTGGGTATTACTAATGAGATTTTAAAAATCTTTATATAATATGTCAGAATTCGCCTTCCGGATTGAAAAATATGATTGTTTTTTGCGGAAGTCAATAATACGTGTAGCTTATGATTCTTTGAATCCTCCATGAAATTGTCCATTAAGCGTCCTACATCATAAACTATGGGTTTATACTGGTTTAAAAAAAAAAACATTAAGTGAACTATCTTTCTTCTTGATAGTCCTTTTTCTTCCCCTATGAACATCCTTCTACATTCTGCTTCTCTTTCATGCTCTTCACCCTTTCCTCTTTCTGTTGTTCTTTTTTACATATTTTTGTCTATCTTTTAAGTATGAAGTTTTATTTTTCTCCATTTGTACTATCTGATATTCCTCTCTTGAATCATTTATATCAACATTAGATGGAAAAAAATTGATATCCGAATTTTCATATCATGAGAATGAGTGAGGTGGGACAAAAGGATCTCATCTTGCTTTTAAGAGCACCTATAGATCACGCACATCATGCATTTTTTTTGAGGAAACTAGTGCATTTTGAAATAGATGAGGAGGATTGAGTCTTTATGTTTAGTTTATTTTGTTTGTTGCACTGATTGTGTTTCCAATAGGCATTAGTGACCTCTCCAGTCACTATGTTGTTTTACTGGTATTACCTTTTTTATTTCTCTCATGTTCGTTAACAGATCACATGTACATGCATTGTAGCACTAACTGTACCAATCAGATATGGACTGACCAAATATCATCACTATGTACTTACTTCTATGTTCTAGCTATTCGCCAATTACCTAATATTATGGTTTTGGCTTCGACGTGCCCTTTTTTATTTTTCTGAAAGCCTTTATATATTGC